TCCTCTAAGTACGTGAGATTTTCTTAAAACACTCAAACAGTTGGACTAAATGACAAATAATTTCCTACAATATGTAGTGGGATGTGGGGATTATTGAGGATAATTTTCACTTCATTTTTTCAAGAAAATGTTTCTCTGTGTAGTGCTGCCTGTCCTAGAACTCAGTTTGTAGACTAGACTGGCCTTGAACTCAAAGATCCTTCTGCCTCTGACTCTGGAGTGCTGCCATGGAAGGCTTTATGCCACCAATTCAGACTTTTTCTTTTCTTGAAGAAGTAGTTACGTTCTCTATCTTCCACACCCATTAGCAATTTAGAGGGGGAAAAAAGATGAGACAACACAAGTTTGGAGTAGAAAATCATTCAGAAAAAAAAACCAGTATTTTGTTATATATTCTTTGAGAAACAAAGGCCTAGATTGACCTTGAGCTTCCAGGCTCAAGTGATCCTCCTACCTCAGTGTTAAATGGTTTTGAGGGTTCCTCTCCAGTTTACAACTATCACAATAACACATGGAAATGCCATAACATACCTGTAAATGCTTTTCTTAATCGTGAGTTTATAAACACACACAGTGGTGCTATTAATGCTATTCTTCTACTGTTTTGTTTACTATTCTCCCAGCAGTGTCACAGCACTGAGGATCTCAAAAGTAAATGTCAGTAAGCTTCTATATTTAAAAAAAATTCAAGAAAAAGATCCATCAACTCTAAGAGCAGTGAATTCTTTTTATTGTTTGAGAGAGGTAGAGGGTTTTCTGTGTAGCCCTCGCTGTCTCAGAACAGGCTATCCTTGAACTGACAGAGATCTGCCCACCCCTGCCTCTCAAGTGCTGGGATTAAAGGTGTGCATAACCAAAGTCTGGCAAGAACAGCGAATTCTATTATGCACCTGTAAAATAATATCACGTGCAATCAATCAATACAACAAAATAAAATAACAATAAACTGAACACAGTCTGTAAAATGTGTTAAATTTATATTGAACAAAAGGAAGCAATAGGCCTCCATATACAGTGTTACAGGAAATGGGGTTCAGGATGCAATGTGAACTTTTCAAGATAAAGAAATAAATATAAAAATTGTACCCATGAGAGATGATGGTATCACAAATGTGAGTTAAAAACATATTCTAACTCCAATGTTTATTTCCACTAATAGATAATTTGCAGGTAACTAAAATGGTCCTGGGTAAACATCAACTCAAAAAAGTTTGATGTGTGAATCCCATCTTTTGTATTTTGGCTGAAATTGTTGGGGCATCAATATCTCAATCATGTGCAGAGACCATATTACTCACTCTAAGCTTACCTGTTGGAATGGGCTCAATATCTAGCTGTAGGTTAATCTCAAGAAATCACACCAAAATCATTGTTAACACTGATTTTGTGAAAAACAATTGAAGATTTCATGAACTGTGTTCTTTACTTCTAGAAATCAGTTTGATTAGATGTAAGTCTTACCTCTACACCTCACTAACTGTATATTAAAGTGCAAAGGGTTTTTTGGTTTTTTTGAGACAGGGTTTCTCTGTGTAGCTTTGGAGCCTATCCTGGCACTAGCTCTAGAGACCAGGCTGCCCTCGAACTCACAGAGATCCACCTGCCTCTGCCTCCCGAGTGTTGGGATTAAAGGTGTGCGCCACCAACACCCGGCTTAAAGTGCAAAGTTTCAGGCCCTCTGAGCCTGTGTTATTTTGTATATCTGGTGTTATTCTTTTGGCAAATGTAAGCCATCTAAATGAATTTCAAAACCATTCTCTGAACCTGGGAAAAATTTCAAAACCAGATTATAAGTTCACTTTCCAAGCACTATGCTAACAAAGTCATAGGATTTACCCAGTGATGCTAACTAACTCCGCTCTATTGTGGCTTATTAAAGGAAATACAGTAATTTTCTCTCAATCATTTGTTCAGTTGACTAGTCTGGTCTCAGAGTGAGTTCCAGGACAGCCAGAGTTATGCAGAGAAACTCTGTTATGAAAAACCAAAATAATAACAATGAAAAAGACTGTCTAATAAAGACCTGCACACATCTGAAGATTTTCATAGGAAACCAACTCCTTTGAAGATGCTAATGAAGTATACAACGTTGCTCAATGTTCTCAAATCTTTTGACCTTATTAAGAATCCCCAAATATATTAATCCCCCACTTATATTTGCCTTAAGCACTATTATTATTTACACACAAAACGAATGAGATCATTTTCATATGTGATATTTTACTTTGGTATTTATGGTATTCTGTTGCTCTGGAAAAATATTGTGAGCCGAAGTCCAGATTTTTCTCACATTTTTAAATAATTCCTATTTATATCATTTCTGAATGACTGATCCATAGTTCTTATATAGTAGCTCTTGATTATTATATACAGAATAAATGTATATCTCAATGTGGTATTGATTAAAATAAGTTAATTTAAATCATGAGCACAACTAAGAAAATATCACTCAATATGGAAAAGCTTGACTCTCATCTCTCATCTCAATACAGCATTTATGCAAAACTGATGATCAATATCAGCATGAAGAATTTTTGTAATTGAGGCATAAAAAGACTCTCCTGTACACAGCTCGTGTTTCACTTTCACATTCAGTCTAGGCTTGAACAGAAAAGAGGTTTACTGAAGGCTCCACATTGTGGTGGAATGAGTGATTCTAGACTCTGATAATTTGTACTTAGATATCACCACTAGACAAGACATACACCTCATATTTTCTTATTCCATCTTTAAAATTCAGATAGTCATAGATAGTATTACTATTATTATACATAGTATAAAGAAAAATTTACTAAATAATATTCATGATAACAAGAATGAAAGGCAATGAAGATTGCTAGGTTTCCAGAATGTTTTAAATTAGCTATCTCAAGAGGGGCAAAACAAATAAATTTATTAACTTTGTAAATTATTGTCAGAATTAAATGAAATAATATATCTAAGCCCTCACAACAAGCCTAACACATAGTGATAACTCATACAGTGTGGTTTAACATACTCTAAGTCTATATAAGTATGTCTATAGAAGTAGACATTGTGGCAGGGCATGATGGTGAACACTTATATTCCCACTCAGGATGCAGATACAAGCAGATCTTTGTGATATCCAGGCCAGCCTGCTCTACACTGTGAGTTCCAGGCCAGCCAGGACTACACAGTACTTTGTCTCAAAGAAAATAAGCATTGGGCAACATGAAATAAGGCATAAGTCATGGTTATCTCTTTTTGTATGATTTTCCTAATATTTATTTTCACAAAAATCATTCTTCCAAAATTCATCACCTTCTCAGACTTCTATTACCCTTACCCTGTCTAAAGCATGGTTTTCTTTCTATATGTAAATATTATATGATTTATTTCTTCAATAGAATTAAGGTGTATGTCATTTACCATTAGAACCAAAAAAATCTTCCACATTGTTTTGTGCATATTCTATTGTTTTTAAATACAATATTTGGGTCCTTTTTAAAAAATCTGTATGAACATGATGTTGAGACAAAACTACATTTTATATTAGATACATGGAGTATATATTATAGTCTGTGCTGAGTGGTTGTCATGAGTGCCTTTATTGACATTTCATGGCTCTTTTGCATGAAGTATTGTCAAATACAGGTTTTGTAAACTGTAAAGATGTGTCTTTGCCACCTGCGCCTTCTGATTGATTTAATCAAGAGCTGAATGGCCAATAGCCAGGAAGAAAGAGGTCAGACAGGACTTCTGGGGAGAGAGCGAGATGGAGAAAGAGAGGGAGAGAGAGAGAGAGAGGAGAGAGGAGGAGAGAAGAGGAGAGGAGAGGGGAGTGGAGGGGAGGAGGGGAGAGGGGAGGAGGGGAGAGGCAAAGAGGCATGGGAGCCGGGGCACATGAAGAGGAAACAGTTGGTGCAAGATGGAAGAAAGGTAAAAAGCCACAAGCAAAATGTAGATTAATAGAAATGGGTTAATTTAAGTTGTAAGAACTAGTTAGAAACAAGACTAAGGCCAAACTTTCAAAAATTAAGAAAAAGGCTCTGTGTCCCTTTTTGTGAGCTAGCAGCCCAAGAAAAGGCCTGCCACAATGAAGTATTTAAAGTAATGTAATTTTGAAGAAAATGCAATTTGACCAGCACAGGCAATGGTGGTGGACTTGATAAATGACAAGACTCCCAAACTCAAAGCACAAAGAGGTGAGGCTCCCCTACCCTAAAATACTTCCACATAGCTTCATGACAAAGGCCAAGAATTGAAGAAAAGTAATTCTGATTCATAATGGAAGAAATTTCTCAAGTAAGTAGAAGAGCTCAATAAGTTAAATTTTGAGAAAAAGCAACAGTTACTTTAGTTTAGCAGGTGATTAAGCAGAATTAACATCATATTAGGAAGTAGCAAAATGTTGTCTATCCAAAGCAGCTGAGGACTTTGAAGAAACTGTCCTCTAAAATATAACGGACTAATGACATAGAAATAAGATATCCTCCAAAGGCAACACTAGAACTCTGCCCACTTCAACTGTCAGCTCACAAAACATGCTACTGAATATTAAATCACATAGAAATAAGGGTACTTCAAGCATGCCCGTCTCCAACAGTGACAGATGATTTCACAGTTTATAATGAGTCAAGAATTCAAATCAAGTTCATAAATTAAATAACACTATAATACTTCTGAATACACAAACATAATAAAGAACAAGGAGCACCTGTTAGAATAAGAACAATACGGGATGAAAATTAGATTTGAGCCCTGCCTATGCCCTGTATTTCCCATTATGGTCCTTGACTTCTCCCTGACACACTTGTTTAATTTAAAGAAAACATTGGTTCATTCTATTTCATTTTTAACAGTATCGCTACTGTGACTACTGTTGTTATACATAGCACGAAGAATTAATTGCTAAATAATATCTATGATGACGGGAGTGAAAGGCAATGAAGATGACTAGATACCCAGTATTCTTTACATGAGCTGTCACGACAGATAAAACAAATTTAAAGCTGAAGATAGAATACTAAATTGACAAACTACATCTGAGGCATCACCAGGGATGGAATGTATCCCAGGATTTTGGTACTTACGTTCTCAAAGATCTCTTGTTGGACTCCACTATCTCCAGAACCCAAACCAGGAGGAACACTGGGACTGAAGGCCATGAGGTCGGTCTTGGGCGGACCCTCTCCAGAACACACCCTCTGCCTCCTTTGCTGAGAGTAAGACCAGCTCCCCACCGCACTGGAGCACACTAGCACGGGCTTCCCAGTTCCACATGCAACCTCAGTGGGCAGCGCTGAGCACCGCAGTGCTGTGTATAAAACCAGTGTGAGCACCAATAGGCTGGACACCGCACAGATGGCTATGATCAAATACACGTTGACATCCACTATAGATGGTTCAGAGGCTTCTGTGCCCGCCAACGCCCGTGAGGAGGTCTTTGGTGCCTGGTTGCTCTCAACCAGAGAAACCAGCACTGTGGCTGTGGCTGTCAAGGCCGGCTCGCCATGGTCCTTCACCAACACAAACAGGCGCTGGCGTCCCTTCATCCAGGGTGCGTGTGATGCTGATTTCGCCCGTGTACAGACCTATGCGGAAGGGACTGCGCACACCACCAGCTCCGGACTGCAGCTCATAAGACAGCCAAGCATTGTAACCAGAGTCTGCATCCACTGCGCGCACCTTTGCCACTATGTGCCCTGAACCCACTGACCTAGGCACAAGCTCGCTCACTGCGCCACCGGCTCCCACAGCTCCGTGGGGCAGCAGCACAGGTGCGTTGTCATTCTCGTCCAGCACAAACACCTGCAGAGTCACATTGCTGCCCAGAGCAGGCACACCAGCATCCCGCGCGCTCACCTGGAACTGCAGCAGCTCCAGCTCCTCATGGTCCAGAGGCTGCAGCGCGAACACCTTGCCGCTCTCTGCGTGCACAGACACGAAGCTCGACAGCAAGCGCTCGCCCACCCTCCGCTCCACCAGAGAGTAGGACACCAGCGCGTTCTCCTGCGAACACCGTGAAGATGTGAGCGCCAGGAGGGTTGTTCTCCTTCACGAACACTGTGTATTCGGGCTGCGCGAACGCGGGCGCGTTGTCGTTCACGTCAGCCACCTCCACGGACACGCTGGCTGTGGCCCACAACGAGGGCGAGCCCCCATCGCGGGCTGTCACAACCACGTGGTAGTTAGCGACAGTCTCTCTGTCTAGGGCGCTGTCCAGCACGAGTGAATAATAATTCTTGAAGGTGGACACCAGCTTGAAGGGGACATGAGGGGTCAGAGAGCAGGTCACCTGCCCGTTGACAGTAGAGTCAGGGTCTGTCACGCTGATTAAGGCGATAACTGTCCCCAATTGTGCATCCTCTCGCACAGGGAGTGATAATGATGTTACTATTAACTCGGGAGCATTATCATTGATGTCCAGGATTTCAATCAATACTGTGCAGTGACCGAACATTGGAGGACTGCCTTTGTCAACTGCTTCTGCTTGAATCTTCCATAAATTAGTTTCTTCAAAATCTATTTTTCCACTGACTTTAATTTCTCCACTGACTGGGTCGATATGAAAAGTGGCTTCTGTCCTAGGGGAAACATCCGTTGCAAAGGAATAAAGAATTTGACTGTTTGAACCTTCGTCCAAATCTGAGGCATTTAGTCTAACTACCAGGGTACCATTTCTTGCATTTTCTACCAGCTTCGCCCGATAGATTGCTCTGTCAAACACTGGAGCATTGTCATTTACATCAAGCACTATGATGTGTAGTTCCAAGGTGCCTGTGAGCTCGGGTTTGCCCCCATCCGTTGCTTTAACCACTAAGTGAAGCTCAGAAGCCCTTTCTCTGTCTAAAGGTTTTTTTAGCACTAGTTCGAGTGGTTTAACCTGCTCATCTGTGGTTGGTACTTCCAGGGAGAAATATTCACTGGGACTCAGTCTGTAAGTCAGCAGAGCATTGGTTCCGATATCTGCATCTGAAGCGCCCTCTAGTGAAAAACGAGAGTCTAGAGGCCTCGTTTCTGAAACAAAGAGAGTCTTTTGTGTGGTTGGGAACACCGGCGGATTGTCGTTAATGTCCCTGACCTCCACCTCCACGTGGAAAACCTGCAGAGGCCGGTCCACGATCACCTCCAGGTGGATGCTACACTCCTCGCTCCGCCCGCACAGCGCCTCCCGGTCGATCCGAGAATTCACAAACAAAATGCCATTCTGCAGATTTACCTCCAGAAGGTCCCCGCGGTCCTTGGACGCCACCCTGAACAGGCGGGGCACCAGCTCGGCCAGCTCCAGCCCCAGGTCCTGAGCGATGCGGCCCACGAAGGTGCCGTGTTTGGCCTCCTCGGGGATGGAATAATGGAGCCCCTGGCAGTATATCATGGCGACAAAGCACATATTCTCTTTGAGATTTTTGTTTGTTTGTTTGTTATTGGTAGTAGTAGTATTCTTGCTCCAGAACAATCCCAGAAATGCGGGTGCTGTTTAGTCTTTACAGCTCAGGACCAGCTTCTTTCCGGTCTGCAGAAGATCTGATTTTTTTTCCCTTAGCGCTCTTGTTGGAGAACAACGGCATCCTGTGGCTCAAAGTGTAAGTGCAATTGCGCTCTGAGATTTTCGCTTACCTGGCTTCGGAATGCCTTCTTATTTGTGTTTTTCTTTGTAGGCTTCTAACTAGTTCACATTTCAGTAGCCGGTAGCTAATTATAGGTTGCTTTATCTTAGATCTATAGTTCCTAGAGTAGTTTTGTCTACTATATAGACATCTAAGTACATACTACTGAACAAGCTATATTATCGTGGAAAAGAATATGGACAAATTACATTTCTACTGGCGATACCGCTTTTAAGAGGTTTTTAAGAAATGATGTAACATGTAAAATGCTTCTTATCCAACCTCTTCCTAAGACTTTGTAATTGTGTTTTGCTGAATCTTTTTAAATGCTAAATTATTCTGATTATTTTATTTAACTCTACAGATAATAATTCAAGATGCAGATTTTCTATGTTACAACACAATGGGATTTCAATTCAATGCTAATAAGCTATTTACTATTTTAAACTCTATTTGACGTTATTGAGTTTACTCAGCATAGATTGCGGGAAATTTAGAGCGTATTTGTAAGGCTATATCATTTTGAAGCTTTTGTTCATTCATTATATCTGTTTAGGGTTAATGCTGTTTCCATCATATTGGACAACTTCAATGTCAAGTATAATTGTTATTTACTTGGAAATAATGATTAATTTTTATCCAAAACTATGTCAGGAATTCCAGTTATATTTATCTGTTTATATTTATTTCCTTAGAAAATTATGTGAAGAGTTCAGAATATAAAAGTTATTCTAAGTCTCATTCACTCAATTTTGTTATTATGTTTTAATCTGAGATACAAAAAAATATATTGGAATTTACATGGAACACTTGAAGTTTATCAGTATCGCATTAAAGAAGAAAATGGTTTAACCAACCTCAAGACTGTATGGAACCAATTAATCTCCACCTGAATCTTGCCAGTAATATCAAGTCATTGAAAAAACTCAAATATGTCCCTGATCCCTGTATTCAACAGGCAAAAGAAGGATTGAGAATTCAGGATTATATCAAGATGATGTGAGACAAGGGGGGGAATAATAACAAACACAGTTTCAAAAGGGAAATCCTACTAGGTACTTAAGAGAAAAGGGAAAGACTTAGCTGTATGTTTATTTTAACTAAGCTGTTAGCTGTATTACTTTGGGTTGTATACTCTAGATTTTGTTCTGAGTTCAATCACAAATGGTCTTGTAATAATTGATAACATGAAAAAAGATGAATGAAAAATAATAATAAAGTCACCAACCTGAAATACACACAATAACTCAGTATGTTTACATCTATTAGAAATGTCAAATAATATCTATTATTAGATAATAGATATGAGCAAGGAAAGAGAAAGAGTGATGAGAAACACAGAAAAGACAGGGAGAGACAGAGACAGAGCGGTTCTCTTTTTAAAACTGGCAGCCAAGCTAGGTGTAATGAATATGCCATGCCTGTAATCCTGGCACCTGAGAGACTGAGTTAGGAAGTTTGTTCTGAGTTTGAGGCCAGCCTGGACTAAATAGAGATTCTAGGCCAGCCTGGGTTACTGTGAGACTCTGCCTCAAAAACGTAAAATTAATTTTAAAATTGGAGGTCAAACTAGGATATCTTCACTATGATGGTTAAGATACCTCTTCAATTTTATATTATAATACTTGAATTATATTAGTTTAAATTAGTATATTTGGAGACAAGAACAACTGAGACATTATGAGTAATATGAACTCTGACTAAGGGAAAAAACGAAATTTTTATATGATTCCAAGTCTAAGGCATATATTTCATGAGTGTATTTGATATAGTGGCCAATAAAATTTTAATTTAGCATGCATTTTAAATCAATAATCTCTAAAAATTTGGCATTGAGACCAGCCATGGCAATTGAAAGCAATATTTCATTTGCATTTTTTGTACTGATTTTTGTGTTGTCAAACTTTTCTAACTATTTCTTTTAGTCAGTCAAGGTTCTCTGGAGGAACATAGCTTATAGACTGTGGTCCAGCTAGTCCAACATGCTTGTCTGCCAATGGAAGGTCCAAGAATCCAGTAGTTGTTCAGTCCCTGAAGCTGAATGTCTCAGCTGGTCTTCAGTATACACTAAAATCCTGAAGAAGTAGGTTCTAATGCCAGGGAAGGAATGGACTTGCCAGTGAGAACCAGAGCAGGCAAAGAGCAAATTTTGTTCTTCCCTATCCTTTATATAGGCTACCAACAGAAGATATATCCTAGATTAAAGGTGGATCTCCCCACCTTAGAAGATCTGGGTTGATGTTATATATTCTCACCTCAAAAGATACAGATTAAAATTGATTCTTCCTGCTTTACATGATTTAATTAAGGAAAATCTCTCACAGATGCATCCAGTTGATGGAATTTTAGGTAATTCCAGAGGTAGTCAAGTTGACAACCAAACACAGCCATCAAACCATGTAATTTAACTATTTTGTATATCTGACTATATATAACCAAACACCACTCTGTTTAAGATGACAAGAAAAGCTATTAAACTAAACCATTCACCACAGTAATAGAAAATATTATGAGTATAATTTAATTTTCTTTTTCCCATTTTAGTACTAGTTTAGACTAAAAGAACCCTCATTAATTTCTTTTTTAAAAAATAATGCTTCCCTGATAGGTAGACGACACTTCATCTGAAATGTCACAAGAAGATAAAGCTTTTGTGTTGTAGGAGAGTTTGTTTATACTCTGACATTCCTGAGACTGCCAATAAAATCAAACCTTGAATCAGAGGGCGGAGCTAACATTCAGTTGGCCAGAATTAACCTTTGGAGGATCCCTGATAGGGATAGAGAGAGGCTGGAAGAAATAGGGAGAGGCTTAGAAAGATTCACCCCCTCTGCCGGACGGTGGTGGCGCACGCCTTTAATCCCAGCACTTGAGAGGCAGAGACAGGCAGATCTCTGTGAGTTTGAGACCAGCCTAGTCTACAAGAGCTAGTTCCAGGACAGGCTCCAAAGCCACAGAGAAACCCTGTCTCAAAAGACCAAAAAAGAAAGAAAGAAAGAAAGAAAGAAAGAAAGAAAGAAAGAAAAAAGAAAGAAAGATTCACCCCCTTTTTGGTCCAGGAAGGTGAAGAGTCGGGCCAGCTGATCACGCTTCTGTTGATCTTTGGATCTAGCAGGTTTTTATTCCACTATTTAACTTCTGAGTTTTATTTAATAGTAGAACAATATAAGTAATCGATTCATTTTGTTGTTGGTGCTATTCCCCATTTTTAAAAGATTTATTTATTTAAGTTTTATGTATGAGTATTTTCTTTTCATTTATTAGGTGCACCATATATATGGCTAGCACACATAGAGGACAGAAGAGAGTACCAGATACCCTGGAACGGAAGTTACAGATAGTTGTGAGCAACCATATGGGTGCTGGGAATCAAACCTGGGTCCTCGAGAAGAGCAGCCAGTGCTGCTGAACCATCTCTCAGTCCTCAAGAGAGAAAGTTTTTTGTTTGGTTTGTTTTGGTTTTCTTTTGTCTTGTTTTTAGAAACTGTTTGATCTGGCTGTCCTGGAATTCACTGTGTAGATCAGGATGGCCTTGATCTCACAGATATTTGCTTGCCTCTGTCTCCTGAAGGCTGGGATTAATGATGTGTACCACCAAACTCAGTGAGATAAAAATTTTAATAATTTCCGGAGGGTTTCCACTCCCATCGTAACACCTTCCTCAAAGCAAATGAGCTAATACCTGAATATCACAAGTTGCTTGGGCTTTTCCAATAAAGGAGACCATTGTGAAGAGTTGTTCAATAAAATTATGCCAATTACTACAAACATCCTAATTCTAAAATAAAAGTGAATAATACATACTGGAACAACGGTCAATACTACAGAAACAAAAAAAAATCATCAAATAAGAAAATGTCATCACTGAACTGGCACCTTAGCTTGCTGTGATACAAACAAGAAAGAGCATATTTTAGATATTATATTTTGCTGAATATAAAGTACAGCTCTATGACATACATGCTAAACATAAAATTCTAAACGTTCTCAATAAAAGGGGGAAGACATGAATCGGTGTAGTATTTTCTAAATGCAATTGGATGAAATCAAAATGTCACTGAAGCAGGGTGTTGTGGCACATGCCTTTAATACCAGCACTGGGAGACAGAGGCAGGAGGATCTCTAAATTCAAGGCCAGCCTGGTCAACAAAATGAGTTCCAGGACAGCCAGAGCTTCAAAACGAAACCCTGTCTTGAAAAACTAAAAATAAAAAATTAACTTGAAAATGATAACACTGAGCTTACCAACATATATACATGAAGAGAGCATATAAAAATAAAAATTACTGCATCCAAAACATGAGTTCTGTTGAGGAAAGCTTATGTGTTCATGATAGCTGTATTAAAATTATACATTCCATGCAGAGGATTGATGTCATCAAACAAATTTCTGGAATAAAGTGTATTGAAACATTACTAGAAATACTTTCACATAGTGGTACTCCGACAAAGAAAATATAGTCTGGGGCATGTATTTGTCACAAAATAAAATGAGAGGGAAAATCTATTTCATCAAGCAAAATACAAAAATAAAAAGTAATGGCCCACCTTCCCAGAAACGTCTCCTCCAGCAGAATGATTTTCCACTCCTACATCGGTCACAGGGCAGGGTGTAAGACTGGGGCTGAAGGCCATGAGGTCCGTCTTGGGCGGACCCTCTCCAGAGCACACCCGCTGTTGTCTCTGCTGAGAGTATGACCAAGTCCCCACCGCACTGGAGCACACCAGCACGGGCTTTCCAAGCCCACACCCGCCTTGTATAGGCACTGCGGAGCAGCGCAGTGCAGTGTACAGCAGCAGAGTGAGCACCAACAGGCTGGACACTGCGCAGATGGCGATGATCAGGTACACGTTGACATCCACCAGCGACACCTCCCTATTTGAGGAGTTGGACAACCCCTGAGAAGAAGCTTTTGGCACCTGGCCGCTCTCCACCAGAGATACCAGAACCGTTGCAGTGGCGGTCAATGAGGGTTCTCCATGATCCTTGACCAACACCAATAGGCGCTGGCGCGGTGTATCAGTTTCATCCAGGGCGCGTGTCGTGCTGATCTCACCCGTGTACAGACCCACACGGAAAGGACTGCGTGTGGCCACAGTGGGCTGCAGCTCGTAAGACAGCCACGCATTGTAACCTGAGTCTGCATCCACCGCGCGCACTTTTGACACCACATGTCCAGCACCCACTGACCGCGACACAAGTTGGCTAAATTCACTAGCAGGTCCAACTGTCTGAGGCCCTAGCAGCTCAGGCGCATTGTCGTTCTCATCCAGTACAAACACCTGCAGAGTCACATTGCTGCCCAGGGCAGGCACACCAGCATCCCGCGCGCTCACCTGGAACTGCAGCAGCTCCAGCTCCTCATGGTCCAGAGGCTGCAGCGCGAACACCTTGCCGCTCTCTGCGTGCACAGACACGAAGCTCGACAGCAAGCGCTCGCCCACCCTCCTCTCCACTAGAGAGTAGGACACCAGCGCGTTCTCCTGCGTGTCCGCGTCTGTGGCCGACACTGTGAAGATGTGCGCGCCAGGAGGGTTGTTCTCCTTCACGAACACCGTGTATTCGGGCTGTGCGAACGCGGGAGCGTTGTCGTTCACATCAGCCACCTCCACGGACACGCTGGCTGTGGCCCACAGCGAGGGCGAACCCCCGTCCCTGGCTGTCACAACCACGTAGTAGTTAGCGACAGTCTCTCGATCTAGGGCACTGTCCAGTACGAGTGAATAATAATTCTTGAAGGTGGACACCAGCTTGAAGGGGACATGAGGGGTCAGGGAGCAGGTCACCTGCCCATTGGCCCCAGAGTCACGGTCGGACACACTGATCAGGGCGATTACAGTACCCAAAAGAGCATCTTCTTTCACCGGATCAGACAAGAAAGTAAGGACTATTTCTGGTGCGTTATCGTTTTCATCCAGGATTTCCACGAGTACAGTGCAGTGAGCCACCATAGGTGGATGTCCTTTATCTGTAGCATCCACGTGAATTTCATAACTGTTACTATCCTCAAATAC